CACGTTCGCCCGTTCAGAAGTGAGAATTCAGATGCGTCCAACGTGCGCTGATGCAATAGTGGTAACACGTTCGCCTCGCATGTCAAGTGTCGGGAGATCAAACTCCGGCAAGGCCGTTGGATATGCACTGCTGATGAGCTCTAATAACAGCGAAACTCGAGTCCAGTGCTTCCCCAATCCCTTTAGTGTGGATTCACATGAATTATTGCGCCAGGACAGGAGGACGACTGTTCAAAATGAGAGTGACCTGAAATTGAACAATACACCTCCCGCAAAAACTTCTACACGCACAAAATGATCCCACATGCAGAAACCACCTATTGTTTTTCTGAATGTTCTGAAACGATGACTTCTCAGTTAGGGGTTTCCAATGGACTGGGTACAACCACGGACCAAGTGTCCAAAAAATCTCAATTGAATACGCTTGACCGGTTGGGCTCAATGTAAACTGGGTACATCACTATTACCACAACTTTTCGATTCTTCATTTTTGTGACCCATGAGGATTTCATGAAAGGCTCCGCAGGATTTTAATAATAAATAGAACTTAATCTCGTCTATATTCACTGCAACAGCGTTTTTAAGTGTTTGTTCCAGTTGCCTTCCGTCTTTGCTTAAGGTGTAACGCTTTTTTAAATATAATCCCCGGCGACTTACACGGTCTCTACATGCATGCGATGGGAGTGTTGTTGACACACATCAGTGATACCTGAAACACCATTCAGCGACTATGTATAACTATACAGTTGAAAATGTGGTATTTATTGTGCAGGTCCAATTTGTATTTGAAGAACTAACGATAAATTGTCTCCGAGGCTGTGGTAATAGCATCAGCCATATGTCTGCTACTTCTGGCCAAACAAAATTTTCACTGGTCAGTTCGGTCAATTCAAACAGAGGATTCACTCCGTCACTCACTGATATCCACCACTACGAAATTTGACTCACTGACGGTCATAAAATAACGAATTCACCCGCAGTTTTCAAACACTTGGAAGAAAATCGCCAAGTTTAGCAATACAGAGATAGACAAACACGTAATTTTCAAAAATTTGGTCTTGATGACCCAAGGTTCAAGTAGGGCAAAGGCCATCTACAGCCAGCCACAGAATAATAGATAGTTCGTCAGATGGACCACTAGGTGGTCTGTCAGGAAAGAGGAGAAAAACCAGACTGATTTGCAGATTAGTGTATTTCTCGAAAACAGTCCAATTTGGGTTCTAGTAGAACATAAGGTTGACGGAAACTCGGAGACTGCGCCTATCTGAAGAGCCCCAAGCAGGGAAAAATTGGTCGTGGGCTGTCAGAGAGTTTTCAGCAACCTTGTGAGTAGTTTCCTTCATGAAAAAATGAAGCCTCTAACTTTTTTTAATTCATAAAAAAAGTACTAACAAAGTGGCAGGGTTCGTTTGGAGGCGTTTCAAATTCTGATGGGTTTTGACTTTAGCTCAGTGTATAAAAACGTTCCTAGGTCGAACTACTTGGAAGTAGTTGAGCGAATTCTACTGGCACTAGAACGGCTGCAATCATTGGTTCAGCTCCAAAGAAAGCACAAAATTTTGGTTGAAAATGGATTCTTGCGTTTTGGACTCAGTTGCCTATTTATAAGAACAAAACTTAGCTTTTGAATCTCTAACAACGCTGGTTTCATCGAAACGTTGTGTGGAATAGTTCGAACAGGAGGATTCAACAGGATTCGACTGCCCAACGAGAGATATGGTGTTATTTAGATGGGAACCTTGTGGTGATCAGTGGTTTCCAGAAAAGTTTCAGTACTCTGAATCCTGAAGTAAAGTTTATGATGGAGATAAATTTCACTCAAGTTACGTCAATCTCCCTGGATTGTAAGATACGCGAAGCCAGCAGGTACATATGCTAACTTAGTTCACTCATCTGTCCCTCTTAACGCGTTACACGCCAGGATTGCCTCGTTCACTGTTAATAGAATCAAATTACTGTGTCAAGAACAGTTGGACTAGGTAGCAGCCCCAGTTGGGGTCAATGACAGATTTCAAGAAGCTGAGTACTCAATGTGTTCGACTGGGCGGTCATTCAGAATGGTATCTGCAACGGTTTCAAGCTTCCGCTAGTAATGAATCACTCAATCTGTCATTGTATACTGGGTAGGGAAATTCGGGTTTATTCCTTGGGCGCTAGGCAGCCAACACCAGAATACCGGTAGATAAAGGAGAAATGTTACGTCCAGTACTAGTACGAATAAAGGATCACCTGCTGACTAAAGAATGCGTCCATAAAATATGCTGCAAAGACTTATTAAATTCTGCACAAGAGAGACAGCAAGGAACTACACACTAGAATCGGCGGGAGAAAAGACGAACACTAGCCCCTTTTAAAAGATTCCGTGATGACAGAACACACATTAGATACAGAATACAAAAAGGTTTTTGGAGGCGGTGACTATGAATACGGCAACGGCGATGGATGGACAGAGGCGATAGGATCCGCTGAGCATTTCAGGATAGATGGAATAGATGGGACAGAGATAATGAGCTTGTGGAACTTGGTTTTAGATCACCCAAGTCAAAAACTGGCGGTGTCCGAAAACCGATCACAGAAAAGTACGCTTATTTGCAAACTAACCTGGTTTCGGATCCACCGTGGAATGCCCAGCACCAAAATCTTCACCTACCCTTTTCAATCGTTGCGGTAGCGCAAACCCAACCACAAAGTCACAAAAATTGTGGATGACACTGAAGAGTAATCTCCAACTCAAGCGAGATGAGCCAGAGCAGCCACACGCATAAACCCAGACGAAGTTCGTGTCAGCTGCCCCCTAGCCCTTCCACTTAAACTTACTCATCCACACGAGCCAACAAAAAGGGAAAACAGGAAAACCACTTGGTCGATACCTAACACCAATCAATCAGGCTGTCAACAACATGTCTTGCTGGTTAGTCTTCACTGTGCTCCAAAACTCCACCAAACTTGAGCCTAGTTACTTGGTCTAAAGAGGCATTTGTGTCAAATAGAAACTTCTCCTAGTATTAAGTCAAGAATAAAGTCCAACTTATCCAAACTGAGGACATCCACTTAACAAACCCCCAATAATTCACATTCTTGCCACTTTTTAGAGAAGAACATAAAGTGAATTATCAGAAAGCGGGCCAGCAGCCAATTTTATGGAACGCATCGGGATTGTATGTGGCTTGTTGCACTAATGAACTTGTTTACTTCTGCGAGGAGCGGACGAATCACTTAGCACACTGCTGCAGCGTTACTTGCTCAGCTTGTTCAACGCATTATGCAAAAACCGCTGGAGTAGTATTGGTGAGGTCGTCGAATCTTGAACAATTCACTACATGAAGTTTTGCGTCCCTGGACGAAGCAATGGGAAAAACACACCTACTGACCCACTGCTACGCTGCACTCCACGGCGCTCTTTACCTGGGATGGCAATGAAACACTGCAATCTCAGCGAAAAAAACAGCTCGCCACCTTGGCTGCAGATATTCTTCTCAACAGCAAACGTCCGTCCCTGATGCCTCCATCATGTGGGCACAGAGAGATCAAAGGCATAGAGATTTAGTTACTTTGGTTTGTTGAGTTAAATGATCACACATTCACCTGACGATCTGCACAGCTAGGGGCTTAAGGCTGCGAATGAATTATTGGGGAAACCTGGTTACCGGTGATAGATAGATAGATGAGTAGTTTTCCAGCCGATATGATCTGCACCCATCAGGAAAAATCAAACTGATTCTCCTGGGTTGAGTCAGAAATCTAACCAGAGTACTTTCCAGTTATCTGTTGTTGGATGAGGCACAAAATTGTGTGGTTCTTTCCGGTAGACAAGCTAGGAAAGGATTCAATCTAGACTCCTGAACAGTCTTCCTGTATTGCCAAATAACTGTATACATAACCGACTTGCTTACGAAAACTGATTACAGAAGAAAGCCTGAGTATGATTACCTAAAACCCTTTCTAAATAAAATAATCTACCATGTTGCCAAGCAGGCTATCCGAACAGGCATCGTTAGTTACGGTGGATGGTCCCGTATGGGTGGAATTTCACTAAGAAAGCAACGTCTCCAACTGTCAAAGAATTTTACTCCGGCCTAGCTGACCTTCATTCTCGGACGTCCGAACAACTGAACCTGTTATAATTGAAAACCTAAATGAGATTCAGTGTATTTGCCCCTGTTTTTTTTCGCATGGGAATACTGTGACCCTAGTTTTATTCTTTGCGCAGTTTTCACAGTGTACAGAGCCCCACCGCCCCTAACAACCGAACACCACATCATTTGGACGGATATGTCACGTGCAGAACACGGACCAAACGAAGGCATGCCCTGATTGGTCAGGATGGCAGCCTATGCGAGTCAAGCACCTTTGACTCGACGCTTCTCGCCCTCTCACGGAGATTCTGGTACGACCTTGTGGAACACTCTGTGACTACACTACAAATACAGTTGTAATAATTTTCCTTTGTCTCCATAAAGGGCTGTGTAGAGCTACCGTGCCTTTTTGATATACTATGCATGGACAGAGCAGGAAGCCAAGGGATACAGAGTTGGACTACCGTTCAGCAAGACACAACACACAGAGTGCAGTCACTCCACTAACAAAGACATTCACTGACACTAAGACTATGATGAACAGAAGATAGACCACTACAGGAAATGGTGTTCACCGTGCCTCCTTCAATATCCAACAGACACTCGGTGCTAGAAATTGCCTAATCCAATAGCACTCGTGATGTCACAAATGACTGAGTGAAAAAATACTGCCTTTGAACAAGCAATTCGATTATTCAAAATCTCTGGGAAAACCTACCTTAAGCACATGGAAACATTTAGTCTGTTCTCCAATGGACAGGGCCTGCCTTGGGCGCTTGTGCTACATGCACCAATTGTGCGTTGCGCTGAAGCGCACTCTTATTGGTTGGTTATCCGACCAGATTAAGCAGCCAATCGCACTGCCTTGAAACTCTGTTCAGTCGGGGCGGCGAAATGACCTGCGAACTTCGAACGGTAGCTTCACAAAAACTAGTGTTGAACGATGGGTTCCATACTTCATGGTTCACTTGTGAATTGGTCTGGGAATTATCTTCCCCTTTTACTTGGCATGCTAGCCGGATGCCTTTTATTTAGTGCGCATCGCAGGATAGGAGATGAGGGAATTTGTCCTGTGACTAATACATCAAACAATATTCCCCCTTCAAGCATAGGCAGAAAACTTCGGATTCTGTGTTACATTAATACATTTCCACGGAACTATGAGGCTCAGGCTATCCATGCCCAAAGGACTTGGGCTCGTCGATGTGACAGGTTTTATTTTACCAGTACTGTTAGGCATTCAGAATTATCGGTTTTAGGTGAGTATATTATTTATCACTGTTTTGTCTTGCTTGTGTACGTGGTTGAGATCACTGTCCTTGTCTGCGAAATCCCCGTGTATTGTTTTGATGTGCTGTTACATAGCTTTGGATGCCTATTCGAGATATTATTAAATTGGCACCCGTGATATCCAAGAATTTTATCAACATACCGACATTCTCTTCATCAGCTGCAGTTAGTGGTTTCGCTTTGCTTGGATCAGGATTGGCCGGTAGACGTCTAAGTGATGCCTAAGTTACTTTATTGCCTTATAGTAGATCTTTTGAATAGAATAGGCGCACTAGACTGTGTCTGACTACTGGCACTTACTTAATTGGCGATTGGGACAACAAGGGCACGATTAAGCAATGTCAAGGAACCCAAAACTTCCTTTCCAGAGCTTCGTAGTGGCTATGTAGTAATATTTCAGGCTATTTGTTCCGGGACTGCTCTTTTCACTTGATCCGCTTTACATTTATTATTATTAATAGAATCATATAGTTACCTAATACAACATTCTGCTTACCAAGATACACGCCACTTGAGGGATATTTCCTATAAGGATAATGTTTTACAGTGCAACTCAGCTCCATTTAATGGGTTGTTCAAACTTGAACATGGAACTTTCTTGTTCCCAAAATGATTGATCTGCTCCTGAATAGTAAACGTCAGAATGTTGGTCGTGTTTACCGATGGCTCAGGTCTATTGGTCACTCTACAAATTATTAAAGGCGTAATTTTTAGCCAAATCTCAATGGAGTTATATTTTCGATAGGGCTATTGCAGCGTGGGTAGACAGCTCAGCACACACTTGTCTGTAATAATTCAGGTAACAGGAAATGAGGATCGTTGTGCGGTCTCATCACTGTTATTTGTTGAAATATCTCAGCTGCACTCATGCAGTGCTACCGTAGATGTGTGGCATTCATTGTGATCAGTGTGAATGACGTCAGCATTCATTACCAACCAGCATTTGGGTGGGTAGAGTCCGTTGATCCGTGCTTATATTAGTCTCCCCCCTAAAAGGAGTCAGAGCAGGAACTTCAACCTATTGGGTACTCCTAAATTACATGGCGCATCATGGTTGGGCTATGTAAAGTGGGTCGACGAATTGTCGAGTTGGGCTGTGTTTTGGCTAGTCGCTACTGCTCATCAGAAGAATTAGGGGTGTTACAATGTTGTTACCGAAAGCGCTTCTAAACCAGGGCACTCAGTGATCTGTACCTCTTTGGCACCTGTTTTGCAGATACACTGGATGGAAATCTGCTGAGGCCACTATTTTTTTGTTTGCTTTCTCCTTTCCTTCCCAACCAAGAATACGCAGATTTCCAACGGCAGTCTCTGAAGGCTTGTACCGCACAATCTATAAATGGCTGATGTGGTTTGCAAAATACCCGTAGGAGATCAGGTTGCATCCTGAAAGGATGCGAAACTTTGCTAATGTTGTCGGAACGGAGCGAAAAGTTCACCATATTTCAGGGCATGCGAAGCCCTTTCGCATAACTACCTTGGGCTTTGGCAAAGCCTTCCAGCATTCCTCCCATGCATCTATGACATATTCATCCAAGGTTTCAAAAGACATGATTTATGTATAGTTTGGTTTTGCATAGGTTTACATCTCTATCAGCGTGCAAAACAGTCTGACAATCGGAGATTCAGGACAGAAGTAGTAATCTCTCTCGAGAAATACACTCATTTGCAAATCAATTTGGTCTTCACGAGAGACTCAACTGAATCTCTCGTTTATGGTATTCTACAACTGAATGTACTGCAAACAGGCCGCCTAATGTTTCAGTTGGCACGATATTTGAGATATCACAGTATATTTTCATAAAGGAAACTACTCACAAAGTTGCTGAAGACTCTTCAGCAGCTCACGACTGGTTTCGCCCTTCTTGGGGCTCACCTCCTTACTGCGCTGGGGTATTGTTTTTACTTGTTCTTCACTTGAAAGCTGAAGTAGATAGTACTCAGGTGTTTTGTGGTAAAAGCGGACGGTGATTTTTTTCGCCTGGCTTGACTACTTTGTGTTTCCGCCACAGAACAGGGACTGGAAACAATAATACCTTTACTGTAACTGCCTGCTGTTTGATATTGTCTTACCTCTCCATGTCGTGCCAAAGGCAAGTCAAACCATCTGGAGTGAACAGACTGAGCTCCTCATAGTTAAACATTACTTCATTTCATTAGTGATTCTTCCCAACACTCCAGCGCGTTATGTTTAGCATTTTGTGGGAGGAAGGGTAAAAACAAGCTTTAGGTGCTTCAGTTTTATTAACCGTCCATCGGCTGTCTGTCTCAAAGAAGTTGCCTGCTACCAAACCAACATTGACTGCCGAACTGAGTGAAAGAAATAGCTCACAGGATGTGATATCTATGGTAACTGTTCTTCTCTACTAATCCATGCGAGTATCCCATTGTCTCTTGGGTTTCTCTCACCTATGCAATGACTGAAGAGCACAAAAACGGATGCAAGGTAGCATATCACTTGCAGCAAGTTTCCGCGAAACTTCATTGATACCAACGAACCGCATTGCTAATTCTTCCTCAATTTAGTGACATAACTTCACAGCTGAAGCTGACAAAATAAACAACTTGCAAGTTGAGTCCGTAAACATTAGAAAGCAACCCTTCCTAGAACGTTTCTCAATGTCGCTAACCAGTCTACTAGCACTCAGTCTCATTAGGTATATTATATCGATACCGCACATCTACAAGTGGCTCATATATCCCACTGTAGGCCTAAAATCATTAATTTTTACTTCAAATTCTTTTGGTCGACTCTACTTACTCAAAAAAATTACTGCTACTTGCCTTCTGTATTGCTTTCTGCTCAGTTCACCGCAACGAAAGCATCAAGATAAACCTCCACATTATTTTGTTGGATCGATTCGGTTCGATAATAACCTGATCCCGAGTCTGAATATATGGCATAAAATATTGTAACTTCCTCACTAAGGCGCGACTAGGTCTCCTTTTACCACCTATCTTGTCTAGTTATGCCATAAAAATTTTGAGGAGCAGTGTCCTTAGGGGAGAAACATTCGCGTGACTAACTGGGATCACTTGATTTTTTTGACCTGAACAAATGCGAAGACGTCATCTAGAGTGGCGAAGAACGAGCATGTGCTGGTACTAACCAAGAAAAGGCAGCATACTACGAAAATTAGTCTGAAGATCAAACCGACTATAAGGCTTGCTTTTCGTACTCCAAAACCGGCAATAATCCTAAGTCTTCGACAATGAGACGGCGGTTATGTTTGATTGTGTTGACTACCACACATAAGGAACGAAATAAAGGTACTTTATAATTAGACTGGGGTAGCTCATCTGCAAGTGATTCAGAGGTTAGCTAAGAACCTAAGTTTGGATTGGTGAAGCTGATATTCCCTTTATACTTGTTTACATACGGTAGGTATAATGATACATACTGATCAAAGCCTTTGCTCACTGGCGTCTGAGGATCATATACAAGATAAGATTGGCTTCTCAGGTCTCCATGGAAGCAGTCCTACAGCACTGTCACGGCATAGTCGTTGTCCTGTTAGCTAACATGTGCAACCTTATTGCCCAACTTAGCGGACACAGGAAAGACCGTCTGTACCACCTGAGCTTCCAACTTCAAGGATCAAATGATGCGCTTGTGAGGAAGGTTCTCAACGCAGGTCTATGGTAAGAGTGAGATTGTCACGGGAGGACAGCTAATGGCCGATTGTCTTTCGTAATAGCAGACGTTAGTGATATTGACAGCAGTCCGTCAAATTAGGGGAAATCATGGTCCTAACAGCGCTCCACGCATCATGCCAACAATTGAGTGGGTTGTTTTGGCTGCATTGTTACGATTTAATTTCCTTCGGTCAGTTTTTCGTCACGGGAGACAGCTAATGGCCGATTGTCTTTCGTAATAGCAGACGTTAGTGATATTGACAGCAGTCCGTCAAATTAGGGGAAATCATGGTCCTAACAGCGCTCCACGCATCATGCCAACAATTGAGTGGGTTGTTTTGGCTGCATTGTTACGATTTAATTTCCTTCGGTCAGTTTTTCATCTCCTTACTAAGGGTCCTTCACAGTGAGAAGTAGTTTGTCTGACCCTATTGACCATAAATTCGGTTTAGTTCACCCTATCTAAATGATCTTTTGGAGTAAGTTGAGCCAATCGGTCCACTATTCCATTAAATGGAGATAGCGCTTCAGGGTGTAGGATATGCAACCACCAAGAAAGCCTTAAAGGGGACCTTGTAGGTGGATAGCCTTACCAATCAATGTAGTTCGATCGACTGTCAGTCCACAGACTTTCCAAATGAATAGAAGTTCAGGCCATGTTGAGAGTTTAGAAGAATCCGGCTCGAAGCTCTCCTCATCCACTCTTGTAAAAACACGTGCAACATGCATGGAGCAGGGGGGTGATTTCATGTCTGGCCACTCAATTGGTTAGGTTAGCGCTTTTCAGGTCAGTGGTATTACGAAATATGTAGTCTGGTTTTGGAGGATCTCGGCCACAACAAGCCTTATTACTGCGGTTCATCACGCAGGTTTTGAATGGTCACGTAGCCTTCTGATAAGCTATAGCTAACTAGTTTTTTCATAAAAGGTGATTCCCGAACCAACCATTCCACAGTTAAGAAAGTTTGCCTCATGCATTTGGGCTCAACTTAGGTGAATGCAGTAGGATTCTGGAATGCTGTTTCAAATCAACCCAAAATGGCATGCACTAAAGTTCCTGAGACGAGTGATAAGCTTCCCATCAGGCCAGTGTTTGAATTTCATCGACTGATGTGTTCGTATCGATTCTATTCAGCTACTTGTGAATGGTCTCATTTTCATCCCAGTCAGTCAAAAATCCATACTTGACCCCATAACTGTGGCACCTCTGATGGACACAATCAGGTGATTTGAGGCTGTTAAAACGGATGTTGGAGAATGTTAGTTCCGCAAGCAAAACAGGATTTTATTTAAAGACAACGCTGCCCCTAAGGTCACTGAAAACTATTCGACAGCCCATAACCAGGTTTGCTCTTCTTGGGACTCGTCAGGTGTTTTTATCATCTTAATGTTCTACTTCCCTAAGGTCCTGAAAACTATTCGACAGCCCATAACCAGGTTTGCTCTTCTTGGGACTCGTCAGGTGTTTTTATCATCTTAATGTTCTACTTGTAACATTCTTTCTGGCCCCTTTTGCCTGCTTGTGACACCACGGAGACGACAAATCCGGATGCCGAATCAGGATGCAAAGCCAGTTTCACGCAGTTTCCGGTCCTTCTAGTGTGTCTTTTTACGCCCAGCCAATATAACATCCTCTTGGAATCAAGACTTGCTTAGAGAGTTTGTACCTTACTAAACACAGGAAAAAGAAAAGGTGGAAACTAGCAAGCACGATTTTCAGTGTTACTGAACATCTGAGGCATCCCCTTTAGTTGATGAAAAATATTCCACTGCAGAATGGTGAAGACTGTTTAAAACAATGTGCTGCAATGGAAATTGCACTGAAACAGAGGTCTTTCGGTACTGTTAGCACAGTGGGTCCTTCCTATGACGAAACACCCCAGCCGAGCAAATATTTGGGTTCAAGAATGTTTACCATAGAGGCTAGTAGTAAGCTCTAATTTTTCAGTATGTGCAAGTGACGTTCATGTCCAAACTGCGTGTCACCATCTTGCAACACTTGCGAGGTTTACATTTAAGACCATCACTTGTACATCCAATGAAATGGCGTATGAGTGTCATACTTATTACAGAGTTTTATAGTCGCATCATGAATCGGCTAGCAGGTTACCCACCAACCCGGATATCGCAGAAATGAGAAAAACAGTGGTTTATTGCTTCCATCAGCCATGAAGCTCCAAGTGAACTGTAGAAATTGAGCCTCACTATGGGCTTCATCAAGTGCACTCCGAAAGGGTAGTTTTTGGCGGATCAATGAACTACTGAGTTAATCTGAGTAGGGAGGGTCGCAACAATAGCACACTGAATATCTATGCCTGATAAGGAGGGAGGTTGAACGAACCAATGCAGGCGTGATACAAAAGACTCAGTAAGGAAACGCTTTCAAATTTTACCGGAAAATTTCATCTACAAGGTTATCTCTATTGAAAATGTCACTGACGACTTCAGGCAGCGTCTCCAGACATTCCATTAACCTTGAGCATTCGAATTACTATTTTGGGTGAACGTCCTACGTACGGTTAGCTCCACTGTAGGAAACTCATTTAGACAGCACAAGGAATAACCTTTATCCAGGAGCAAATTTCCGCTAATTTTGGTTCTTTTTCTACCATAACTTTCTCTCCTTGCAGCTGAGCGAAATTCACTTGTACTTACTCGCCTATCATATGACTGCATCCAGCCACCTCAACATATCGGCAGTATTAGCCGCTTCATGAAGCTCAATTTGTCCCACAGATAATGCGACATAAAAGTTACTTAGTTGGGTTTCCCGTGTTGTATTTTTATGAAAATGCTCCTTATATCAGTAAAGGTTTGTTCCATTCGTTGCGAACGCCCTGTGTTGATCGACGAAGGTCACTATGGTGAAACTTATCTTAAGCCATACAAGTGCACCGAAAAATTAGGTCTCTAATAGAAAATAGAAAAGAGCCAAGGTAGGTATCATCAAACTTTCTTCACTGTCATTGTGAGATTTCAGGCATAGAAACTTATTTTACCCACCGGCATGGATGACAGACCAGCAGTTTAACATGGACCATCCAGGGATTAATCACTTGCGGCCTTAAAGCATTTGAAAAAAAACCGCATTCACATTGCGCTGAGGAGAAAATTTTATTGGGCCTTGTCTGGACAACTGTTCTAGTAAGCACTTGTTTCCATGTCCTTTTCCTAGCCAGATCCCAAATTCACCACCCTGGTTCTCACTGGTCTCTAAGTTTACACAACCAAACCCAACGTTACTTTGATTACACGCATCGGATCAGCAAGAACAAGGCCTTCTATAGAGGAAAATGTTGGTAGCTCAGGTATCGTAGATGGTGGTCGTTGGCTTGTTCGCTGAGCTGGGCAATTTGATTGCAAACGTCTCATCACCAATCGAGGTGACATCATCAGTGCGTTATTGTGGAGCGTAGTAGTGCGTAGCAGTACGCCAACGCATCTGTAAGCCGAGTCTGCATGATATCCTTCATCTCCTGTTACCTAAACTACGGAAAGCGTATATTTTTTGGACTTCTATGTCATATTCGAATATGAACCATAAAAATTATTCTATACAAGCAGTGCGTTTTAAATGCTGAGAATAGTTCCAGTTACCGTGTTCTAGGGTAATACTGAACAATATTGTCTTGCTACACTGAGACTGTCAGCCCCTGTTTCACAGAAACCGACGTGCTCTGATTAACCCCTCCTAAAACGATTATTTTGTTACGATCTCGTTCAATTTAGTGTTGGAGTAAAGAGGAAAAATCAACTCCCTCTGAGGAAATCAAACACTTTTGTCTATTTATGCTTTACTTGTCACCAAGAAACGACGATTTTAGAAATCTGGAGCTATCTGAACAACAGCGATAAACTGGGTTTATCAGCTACACGTTTAGTGAACCTTCTTGTTACTGATCATTTATACTGTCAAATAAACACACAACATACAGAGGTGGTCACGTGGTTCGTTTGTGAAACTTATATTCCACTAAAAATCTTCAAAGTGATGAGAAAGCACATGATTTCGTCAAGAAATGGAGCGAGATGGCTGTCCTGCGCTTGTCCAATTTGAAGTGTAAAGCATGTTTCTGATGGTGCGTGGAAAGATAATGCATGTTGCTATTCACCGCAAAAGACCACCCTTGAGCTTGGTAGTCAGTTTTGAAAGTAACCTCTATCCCATCGTGATCACTGGATAATAAGCGCACATGCCTGTAACGTCCGCAGATCCCCACTGTGGCTAATTCAAATTAACAACTCACAGTAAAATTAGGATTCCGGTTTGGCACCTGGGAATAATTAAAACAAAAATAAAATTATTGATTATTAAATTAATGAGTTTGTATTGCTTATTATTATATTATTATCATTAACATGACAATAATAATTAGAATAGTGAATTAATAAATGATTAATAAATTAAAATTAGTTTGCAAATGAGTGTATATTCGCTAATTTCGTGCAGTTTGTTTTCAAGTAAAACATAAGGTTGACAGAAACTCGAGGACTGCGCCTACCTGATGAACTCCGAGAAGGGCGAAACCGGTCGTGGGCTGTTGGACATTTTTCAGCAACCTTATGAATAGTGCATCACAAAAATAATTAAATTTTCTCTAAATAATGGTGAGGCATTAGTCTGTTGTCATGGAGGCTTTCATAGGTGGGTGCAAATTAAATCAAATTGAATCCAATCTTTAGAAAAAATGGGTATGACGAGTAGATCGTATCAAGCTCATATTAGTATAGACACGGATTTTTCTGTCCATAGGTGCAGCAGTAAGACTGCATCGGTGATAAACAAAAATGATGCTTTCTCTGAAAGATTATTACAGATAAATGCCGCTTGACCAATAAGCAGTACAAGCGGACGATGTAGCCCTTGGAATAAGACAAGTTTAACTTTTAGGGTAAAAATGTCACAAAATTTGTAGTAAGTGAAATGCTACGAAAATATTAACCGTTCAAGGTGCTATCACTTACCATAAGCTGTCGGAAATATATCCTCTTATATAAACTATCGCGAGGTGAAATCCAAAAAAGCTTGCTATTGGACACAGCTTGACCAACGGGGCATGACAACTAATCGGCACGTCAGGGGAGATTACCAATTCCATGCGTAATGAGTTAATCTTAGGATTTACAGTCAAAATGCCAGGAAGAAGATAAGGGGAGTGTTGAGGAGTATCAAAACGATGTGTAGACCAAACATGGGATATCAAACAAAATCTGACGCAGGTTGTGAACTCTTTCTCAACTCATGCCCAATTCACTGATATCCCAGATCCTTAAGTTGCCAAAAACTATGCAGCTACTCCCAAGGAATATATCACCTCAAGTTGAATCATTTAAGTGGGGCAAAACAGGTGCTGCCGTCGGAAAAATCGTTCCATCTTAATATCTAACTGGTTGCTCAGGACAAAGCAAGCCACATCCAGTGAGGTAAGTTGCTGCTACGTGGTAAATTAGACGCCGATATTCCATCGAAAATTCTGGACAAAAGTCACGGCGATGTCTCCCGGTGGTGAAAGGTATTTTGAAAAGTAGAAGGTTGCTTCTGCCTGGTATCTACTGTTCGAGGGGAAGGGGGGTGGGGGAATATTTTCGTTGACTAAAGGTACCACGAAATTCGTCCTTTAAAAAGGTGTTTTGTCACGCGGGAATAATATTCCAATATACCCTAGCAAATGACGGCTTGCATGATTGTGTGCACTTTGAGGGTCAAGCGCAAAGCACTGCAGTTTCTGCCTTCTAGAAATTCCTGTTAGATGGAGGACTATATTCAGAATGTTTACCATTGATTAATGTGTCTGTGATTAGGCCAGATTTTTATATAGGCGCTACCTTCAGTCAGGATGATCAAACTTTAATTGTCGAAACAGAATTGAGCAACATGTCTAGATTTGAATAACCGATGAAGTCCATTTTGTGATAAATTTGGTTGGAGCCACAGTCTGCCGATATCCGGTGTACAATTAGCTTTATAAGAACGATAAAAGACAGTCACATGTACCTTGAATTTATTTCACCAATGCAGTTATTTGCAAACAATTTTATTTCTCTAATCGACGCACCAAACTCTTTGTAGTTATCAACATGACTCAACCAGAGATCAAACGACATTTATGGGTGAAGATGAGGAAGATCCTGCGCGAAGTCTACCGACAGGCTGACGAATATGACTACTTTTTCAAAGCAGATGACGACGCATACGCTGTTATTCCAAACCTGCGTAGATTTTTAATCAGCCACAACGACCCACTAGAGCCAGTCATGTGGGGCTACCGTTGGATGGTAGGTTTAAACATTTGCCTAGTAAAAATTTTAAAGGGAACTTACTAGAACAGCATCTGCATTTGAGGCATTTTGTGTACGTGTGTTGGCTCAATTTAGATAATTCTTGCTCTGAAGTACGGTTTGTCAACAATTTTGTTTTGTGCAGTAGTGTACATGCTTTTTCCCTAGCCTGTTATGCAGTTCTCCTTCTGGGTCTGTTTTTGGTTTTCGCATGTAGACCAGTTGAGTCGATTTCAAGAAGCCGCCAAATTTTTCAGTTATGTTGTCACTGTACTCTAATATATTGAGATCTACCGGTGTGCACAACCCGCGTATCTGATTTTTAATCAAAGTTAACGATGACCAAACTCATGAAGTTAGTAGACACCTAATTATCCGCTGTACTTCAATTTCCGTGTCGTCTTCATTAAAGCACATCCCGATTAGCCCATCAAGCTTTCTTTTAGCCAAGTTTTTCCATCAAAACTATTCATATGAATGTCATTGTATGCCAGGAAAAGCTTGCACAGGCTTCCTTATGTTGTTGTTTCCAACGTGTTTGGCTACGCCAACAGTAAACACGCCTTTAAAACGTTCAGCCGCGGCATTTCTCAGAATGGATAAGTCGGGTCAAAGAATCGTATGACACTGAAACTGCGTTCGAGAAGTGATCGGTAGGTTGCTGCAGTGTTGACGATTGATCTAAAATAAAACGGTTTATTAAATAAAAAAGTGATGGAATTCGCGTTCTCAGAAAACCTGGTAATCGGTCAGTGAATGCGAAATTGAAATTGATGAGGCTGAGGGCTGATTAAAGTCCCGATATCCTTCCGCACAAATTAGGCAGACTGATTGCCTTGAATTTCCGTCGCAAATAATTTCAAGAAATTTCCATCTGTTTGTTTAAACTTGCTTGGGGAGATTGCCTTCTTTGCGATGCATCTGGCAGTCCATGGGGTCACTCCACGACTACAATAGCGGTTTGGCTTGGGTTCATTTTTGACTTCAGGTAACTGTTGGAATCGCTAAAAGTACGGACCAAATGGAGTCATCCTGATTCGTTGCAATGCCGTCATTTCTTTACTTCTAGTGATTTCAGTATGTAGCTGAGTCCAAAAGTGGACTTCCGAGGTAAGAGGTTGATTTTCATGGCCTTCTACGACAACGCCTGTCTAACGAACCCTAACTGCCGTCCAATTTCAAATGGACCTCTGCATTTGTTGACTGAATTACTTTTCTTAGCTCCTGCCTTTTCCCCAGTTGGGGTGAGCTGCCTTCATGGATTTCCCGAGTCTTAGCTGCCCAAGCGCGGCAAAGCTTCTACCAATATCGACTTAGTGTTGTTTTCAGTGGTCTGGATCATAGGCAGCCTGCAGACCCAGATGTACAACATTGGTCTTAACAATGGTTTTCGGCTGACCTGCATCACAAAAATGCCATTTTGGCGCCGTACGGTGTTAGCATATGGGCGGGGAAAAACGTGAACAAACCATCGGAGTTGGTTCTTGTGGGTTGAGTACACAGGTGCAACGATGCCACATTATCAACCTGCGGTCATGATGGTGCAATGGTCGAAAGTACCCATCTTGTAGGTGTACGAGGCAAGAATCAGCCAGGTTTCTTTAGCACAAACAAAAACATCCATGATGTCAGACCGATGTATTTTAGACTTATTCTTCTGACTAGCTTTTTTCTGTGCCATACTGCTGGCTTCTGTTGTGGAAATTCTGTGCGAGCATTGTTCAACCGGGCGCACACTTCATGCGTAGTATGGCCGTTAGGAAGAATGCTTGAGCCTAGGAAATCATAAACACTCTCTAGTTCAACACCGTTTATCTTAAACGGTTTGTCGGAGTTGAGTAATGATGAGAAAAGGACCTTTGTTTTTGGACACTGATGCTAAGGTCCACAGAGGAAGTACGCTGACCGATTCTAATGAAAACCCACTGTAGGCCATGGTGGCCTTCAGCCAGCACAACTGATATTAACAAACTCACGTGATCAATACATTCCTTCCAGTCTCTACCTCAAGGGTTCGCCAACAGTGTGATACGTTAGCAAATACACAACAAATTAGGGGAGTATAGAGAGCATAGTGAGGATCCGTCTTACTCCAGACAACAATTCGAAGTTCCACGTTTCTCCTCCCTACATATGGGCACAAGCTGTCTTTGCACAGTGGTATGAACCCAGCAGCCTGATTAACTTCTAATATCCTACAGGGACTTTGTATGCTATAAGTTTTGTTCCTTCCACCCTGCCATCTTGATGATCGTTTGTTTAACAGAAATGTGCCTAGTGGAGAGTTTAATGTCAAGCGACAAGGTGAGTAACTAAGCTCTGCTGCGGGTCATCGATAGATGCGTATTTTCTCACCAGATCAGTGAGTAAACGAACGTCTTTTAGCGATGTTAAGTTGCACGCTACATAGTCCATAGTGGAGTACTAGATTTCTGTTTCTATCCATTAGGTGTAGATACCAGTTTCAGTTGGAAACGACGTACAGGTTGCCTGTCGTCAATAGGTTGTAACCATGTGAGAATGTCTGGATTGTGCCTAGTAATTCTGAACACAAAAAGTCGAATGGATGGAGCTTGGATTATCGATTTCGCTGGAATGTGACTCACAACTTCACCAGAAATTTGAATTTGTAGATGGCGCGGACTAAAGTTGGTTCTATAGATTCTTGTACAAATTTTGCTACTCAATAACATTTTTCACGTGTTTTCGCGGAGCTTAATGGCCATTTTTTGAAATCTTCGACACAACTGTCGCGTAACCAATATGACCCTGTGTTTGCTAAGGCGCAAGTGTTTTTTTGATTGACGGTATCTGATTGCTTGTCAATGACAGTCGTGGACAACAGTTCTCAGTACAGGCGTATGAAAAGTAATTCGTATACACCATGCAAACTTTTTCCCCCCATAACTAAGCTAAGATGACAATAACACAGAAATCTAACCCTTACTGTGTTTTGCTTTACGCCACGTAAGTATGGTGTATCTTTCCTTACCTAGAAACTATGTCCCGGCGGTTTCTTCTCGGGCGGACCGGGATACGTTCTTACGCGTACTGCCCTTAAACGAATTGTCGAGCGGGCTATTGACCGGCATCCAGATTGTCCTACTACAGATGAAGATAAAGAAGACGTTAAAATGTGTGAGTTTCTGGAGTATGTTTAGACTTGAGCCAACTGGTGGTCTGTGAACCTGACCAAGTTATCCCTCGTTACAACTATTCAAAAGAAAGTTCGCCTTTTCCTGTTCGTGAAAGTTTATGGAAACTTTACGGTAGACCACGCAAACCTGTCTTATACATCGCTTTTTCATGGCATCTAGTTTTTGTAGCTCTTAGAGCACCATTTGCTGCGAATAGAGCAGTTATACGTCAGTGTTTATAGCAAAACCCGACCAACTGGTCTTTTGCTTCTATAGCTTTTTTGTTCTTGCAGTGATACTGTTTGAAATGTTGATCAAACTGGCATAAATATTGAAGACCTGTAATAATACTAACTAAGGAGTCCCATCTAGGACAGCTTCAACAAAATGCTTCGAAAATCTCTGTAAATCCCCCAGTTAAGTCACTGATACGGACTCAAAAACCTTACACTGGTCGCTGGATTTCAGTCGAGTCTACTGTGATTACTAGAATAATATTAGACCTCGACTGATTCAGCATCGCAGTTATTCAGACGATCTCGATGGTTCTCTGCGAGATCAAACCCGCCATTCCGGTCTACGTGATAACATGCCAAGGGTGATTTCATGTCCCTATAGTGCTTTATAGGGCTTTCGATCCCAGTTAGTAGACGGTGATCCTCCAACACACGTGCCTACCACTATTATCTGTAGTATCGGCAGTTAGACCATGGATCATATTAACGAAAGAGAATGGATGTCACAGTTATCTGGACATTCTTACCTTGAACGAAGTGAGCCATGTAACTGGCACTTGACTTCATGAGTTTGTTCCAGCCTGTCTGCTATTCACTGAGCCAAAAGAGTTACGGGAAACACTACAAAACACAGACAAGGCAGGTTTCGTTTATCAACCCTATCTAATAACCGTTTCATTTTCTAGTGTGTTAAATATGCCTCAGTCAAATGGCTATTCTTTTCATTTCTATCTTGGTGTGCACCGCAAAATTATAGGTTTCGATTCTATTTAACCCTGCCATGTTTAGCTGACATTTTACAGACACCGTTTTATATTTTTGATTGATTGATTACATTCAATATCTTTAGCCATCGAGCCAATGCTATTGGAAACCTCAGTAACCAACCTGTATTGTTCATAAGATGAAACTGCAAACGCTGCAACAATTAAGCTATCCCAATAATAGAGAAAAACAGTAACATTTAATTTGAGCGTTGATTGGATGAAAATTCGAATGAATTATGTTAGTTTTCAGCTGCCCTGAAATTCTCCCTTCATATTTTTCTCATTATTGACAACTGGTTAGTCGGTGCAGTCACGTACGAGGAAAGCTAATTGTATGTTTAGTTGACCACACGTGCATTGCTGTTGCGTAACCCTGGTGGAACTTTGTGATAGGGAAAATTTTGTGGGCCATTGAAGAGTTTACAGTAGCCTTGTGTGTGACGTCTAGACGAGGTTGATTGTAGTTTGCCACGGAAAAGCAGCATGACAGACCGAAAGTAACTACAAACGAACAAACTTCATATCAAACTGTGTATGAAGAAGTGTTTGCATCCTGTCACTGTTTGAATCTGGACGAGCATTTTGTAAGTTTTTGAGGACAACACTTCCTCGTGCCCCCAAGGGGTGCAAGCACCTCAGGCTGTGGATCGCTGTATTAAAGTAGTCTTGTGTTTCCATTTGACATAGTTTCCTCTCAAGTTTCCAAATCCGGAACAGAAATGACCAATCGATGCATGCCGCACATTTTCTCATAATCATTTCTACAACACATGGTATGGTTTCCAACCCATCCTTGAAGTAGCGTGGGGGGCTGTCAGCAATGAGAACAGTTCATTGAAACCAAAATTCTCCTCTTTGACATTCCTCCTAATAGTATTTCGCGGTATGGACTGAACCTTACTCCTAGTCATAAATAACAGCTAACATGAGTCACTTGACTTCATGAAAAATGAGACCTTCGCAATAATCCCCTTTTAACATCAGACCATAAATGTTTTCGGTGCTATTCAGATCCCGATGGTACCAGATGACATACGGTTCCACTCAGTCTATCTTGCGCTTATTTGAAGCTGGACAGTGACGAAATACATAATATACTTTAGCTCAGTTGATCCATTCGTGTGATCGATTTTCGAAAGTATGTCTCCATAAATATATATGCTCCTTACCTAAAAGCCATTTTCGGTCAGATAAACAAACGTCAACAGTGATGTGACACTCATTTTGGGGCTGATTTCAGTAAGGAGTTTGATCTTCCAAACAAGCTGATGGTTTCAAAAAGCGGTCACAATAAAACACTTTACGTTTTATGAACAATAAACAAAAAAATGGGTTTAAAAGTGCATATCTTGTGAAGTAACCATTGTACATCTCACAACTTGAGAACTGCGTCAGAATGGACCGGAGATTTTTGATGAAGGCAACATGGTTCTCATTGAATATCTCTTAATATACAAAATATTTGTACATAACTAGCGACTCTTGTCAAGGCTACCAGATACCCCGGCAGTTATCTCCGCCCTCCGCAAATGTCAGTTTGTCTTGTAGTCCACCGCCACAACTTAGTGAGATGAGGGATACGCGTCAATGCAGTTTGAATAATATCCCAACCAGCATCCCGAACAATGAACTAGATGTCAACATCAATTATGGAAGAATACACAGACTAAACACTAGTGATATTTGTGAAGTGGTTGTGCTGTGTGTGGTTGAATCCTATTCGGTTTACAAAACTTTGGACAGTACTTTTCAGTATCTTGATCAATCAAATGAAAATACTGTGTTTAGATTTCTAAAGTTATTATTGGCCGCAGGAAACTTCAAGTTCGTGGAAGGCAAACAAAAGTAGACATTAATATCAAATAATACCGTCTCCTTAGGATTTGAATTTGAATTTGATGGCCCATTTTTTGTTAACGACTGGGTTTATGAACACATATTATTGTTCAACATGCTTCTTGCAGCAAATAGCAGATAGGCGGACGGAACGATGCTTTGTAGCACTGGTAACGAGAACCACTTTGGTTATTACCGACCGGCCTCGGTCGAACTATTTTTCATTCGACCAACATATTTTGCTGCTCGACATCAGCCGAAGGATCCCAGGACATTGTCGAATGTGACTCGTGAAGGGCGGAAGACAGACAAGCTCTGGTGCTATTGTCCTGCATTCAGCAAAAACAATTTTTGGGGTTAGCGAAATACACTCATTTGCATACCAATTTGGTTTTGGTCAAACCTGAAACGCAGCTGAATCTCTCGCTTACGATCTTCCTAAGCCGTGTAGGGTAAAACCAGTTGTGGGCTGTGAAAGAGTTTTCAGCAATGAGTAATGCAGTGCGTCTATACAATACTGCGGATGTTGAGATCATTTCAGCAACTATCTTCAAGGTTTCAATCAGTCAGGCAGGAGTTTTCAGTTGGTTACGCTGGCAAAAGTAGAACTGATTAACACCAGACGACTTGGGCCGATTTTTGACGTTCGAAATCGACAGGTTTGGTAGCCCCACTTAGCCTGGTCCCTAGAAAATCGATCGGATAATTCAAATAAGAACGTATCATCGGTCGCACCAATCTAGTCAACATCGACCCAAGATGACGTATTTCACTCGTCTTAAGCATTGTCTTGCAGTCGTTCAAACAAGAATGTTCTCCCACTATTTTCCATGTTAATGACCGGACGAAGATTCTTTGCAGTAAACAATGAATAATCTACTCCAGAGAATGCAATCCAAAATTTTCTGCACCCACCACTGATGCCCTCCCATATCCAGGACACGTATCGAGGACACCTAAAGACAAGTTAAAGGCATAGGGTAGCGTTCAGCTCACTCGTGCGGCAGGAAAATGATCCAGTGTTTGAAAGCTGAGCGCTGAACGCCTCGGAAATACCCTTGACAACTGAAGCGATCCAACGCGCACGTCCTGCTAGGCGGTAGCCTGTAGGGTACACCGGTCTCTACAAGAGCCAGAAAACTAAGTCAGTTTCCATTCCCTTGGATGAAGTGTTGAAGTGCCCAGATGACCGACGTTCAAACGACTCAATCACTGCAGTTTTTACTCACCAAATCGACCTCAACTTTGCTGTCTGTATGGTGCTGATAAAATCTCTTCCTAAGCGAAACCAAAGCAGACGCAGTGAGGTTGTTCAAATTGTCCCCTTCCTCAGGCTAGCAACAAGTTCACACTTTGCCCTGCTGGCTCAGTGTAGTTCTGCTTGCATATGCTCAGCTGGAACACTGGAAATCCGGGCTTACTTGCGATCAGCGGATATGCCTTTTTAACTAACAGAAAGGCAACAGATTTGATGGGGCGTAAATGCTCTCCGTAGGAAATTGTTCAACTCGTTCTTGGAGGCCGTTTTGTATACGAAAGACAACATATATCTAACCAACTAACAGACTCGTTTAGATGTGTTTGATTCGTTGCTGAATCAAGCCGACACCTACTGGGTGCACCAGCCATCGATCCGTTGTAGAAAGTGAATGGATAGCCGCACGCGTCTCATAACAAAAGTTCACGAAAAGTAAATAACTCAGGTTGCTATAGCTAAACATTTAACCCCAGCCGATCTCATTGTTCATGAAGATCACTGAATACAGGTCACATTTTCGGGGAATCATATGGATGCGCCTTCACCTTAGACCGCAACTCCTAGTTGGTTTGTTAGGACATGGTCTGTAGCAAACAAGCGTAGTCACATTGAACAACCAGAAAGCACACAGCAATCTAAGATACAGCGATCAGTTGCAAGGCATGACGGAAATGTTTTCAAATATTCCGTCGTCTTTGGTTTAGAATTACAAATCACCTGGTGTGATGTACTCAAATAAGAGAGGCAATTGGGGAAAGGTAGTATCGTGCGACCTACATTATTGTACTCTAACGGAGGACGATTCACCGTTTTGGCGAATGATGAAAGAAAGAAAGAAATCAATCAGTCGGCGGTGCACGTCACTTGCTTCCGTATGCATTTATTATGCTGTTGGTCATGCTGACGATTTAAAGGTAATTCTGTTCGTTGACAATATGAGGAGATTTCAAAATATCAACCTAGGTTTCGCCCTATAAGTGGGGCTGGGCTATAGTGAAAAGCTTAGAAGCACTGAACACACGCTATATTCTAAGGGAATCACCTTGCGAATTTCTGATGTTCGAGCCCGCTATTTGGCTAGGAGTCGCAGGCGAAACGGACCGGTCACTAGCAGCTGGTTTTCAGTTTGACTCACTCGTATTCAGACAGGATACAACTCCATTCATCCTTCAGACAAGAAGTCCACATCATGAAGTCACTTACTGAATGGTTCAAGTCAAAGTTCCATGCAACTCATAAATTATTCCTCATTCCGGACTAGTGGTGGATAGTACAGGGAGATTTTGGAACTTGAATTGCATCAAGGACAATTGCCGCACCGTATATAAAAAGACTGGGATTTAATTTGACGTACCAACCACAAACAATAAACCATCCTGGTATCATTGTTCACCATCTCATGTTCTACCCTTAAACACAGGTTCAACCGCCTCTGTAGGGGTTTGACAGAGTCAAGCTGCATGACCATTCTCAATCGTTCCGTTGCGTCATGTGCACATAAGATTCCATTTCACTATGATGTAGACCCCCTATTCCCCTCAAGTGGTTGGAAGTGCTTGAAACAAAAGTTTCATTGACCCAGATCAATAAACAAGGAGTCCAAGCAGACCACCGCCGTGTCTATCACCATCATATCAGTCGCTGATGATCAACGTCACAAAAAGCTATGTAGCAGAAGTTGACTGATAAATATTAAGTCAACGAGGTTCGAAATGAGTTTATATATTCTGATATTGGCAAGATGCCGTCACAAGTTTCCAGACAGTCCGAGGAACACTAGTATGAACTGTCAACTTCAAATAAGACAGTGGATTACAGAAACAACTTCTGAGGAAAAGTGCTGATTTCACTTTGTCTGGAATAGATCCCTACTTGACTGTGTATGGTGATTTTCCAGTGGTTTTTTGTTCAATCAACAAAATAAATGTATGGGGTTACGAAATTAAATGACAACGATTGTTAGACTTCCTCTCGGGCGTGGGCCCTCTGCAAACCTGTAAGCATCAAATACTGACTTGGGTATTACCACCGTTTAGTCACTTGCAAAGATCCCGTATACTGAGGTTGAACTTAAAGAATGTACCTCCAAAAAACGAAATTGACGTTTGTGCTGTGCATCACATTTTTAAAGAGGATTGTCTTTAAAAGATTGTCCTCTGTTCATCTCTGTACTAGCAGAAAGCCGCCGATGAAGTTCAGCGACAGTAGCTGGGTAACAGGGCGTTTACTGACCTAGAGTGGAAGCCTCGAGGAAACCGCGAGATGGGCGAGTTTTGTTTTGCCTAAGAGCGCAGTAGCCTTTTAACACATCATGTAGAGTGAACAATTTTATTTCGGCTCAAATAATCGTAAGGAAGTTTTGTTCCCCGCTTTGTTCAATAGCTCATCGACATATGTGAATTTTTCTTTGACGAATCGCGTTATCCAAACGGTCCGAACAATCATTTTGGCTCACTAGTGGAGACGATTTCTCGATTATATGCATTTATAAGTTTACTTCGACCGCCTTCTTCCTAACTTTTACTAGTAGCAGTGCGACGGCTTAAAGATGGTTTTCACGTACTGTTAACACAGGCGATGTTAGCTACCCAGTTTAGCTTTTCCCCAAGTTTTCTGCCTTTTCCCTTCATTTAGGTCTTTGTGGTCAAGCCGTTAGTGTCAAGTTGAAGGACGCAAAATGGAAAAATCGAACAGACCTTTTCTACCCGTTTAACCTTACACTGCGCACTGATCTTATGGCAAGAAATAAACTAAAAGCAATATTGAATCGCAAACAGGTTTCCGATTCTGATCTCAAATCTATCAAGGTGAGCGCTTGCTTGACGTTGATGGAGCGGTTTTAGGATCTGCGAGTACATGAGTGCTTGGGCTAGGTGCTAATGCTTACCCTCAAACGCAACTTGTAGCTGATTCCTGAGCAACACTGGAAATTTCGGTGCAGTATTCTTCCTGGAAGCCAGCTGAATCTCTCGTTTGTGTATTTCGCTAAGATTTTTCATGTTCGTTACAAACAAAAACGACCTGTGATTTGCATCACATGTTGGCAGCACTTTTCATGACAAATATAAAACACCGAAGGTTCTTTAATAATGATAGACTACAAAGCAGCGATGCATCTTTTTCGAGCACTGTCGATGAGGCTGTCGATGACAGCATGCGGGTTTTCGCGCCATGCCTCGTAAACTTTCAGTCACGATGGTTTTGTCATGTAGGTATCGTTTGAGAGAGAAGGCATCGAGGAGAAGGTAAACTATAATGAAAATAGGCCAATGCTTCACTAGTGCCTAGGCTTTGAAAGAAATTCGAGCAAATTTTCAGTAGTGCTTCCTGATTGATGACACCAGCAAAGTCCTTATTTTATACTTATTTTTATACTCTTATATACTATTTGTTATATGCTGTTGTACTGTCTTTATTTGATAGTGTTCATGCAGTTTATATTTTTATACTTTAGATTATACTGTGCAATCGTCCTAAAGTACGCTGTTTCAATTACGGCACTTTGGATAGACAATTCAACTCATTGTGCTCTACAGCCAATCTCATCGCTGCGGCAATGTACCATCCCCTAAAATGCGCGTAAAATTTGTCTGCATTGCAGTGGCCAAATGTGCTTTCGTCGTTTACATCGGAGCATTGTAAATGTGGGTCGTGCCTCTGGCAGCGCCAGCCGGATATTGTTTATCCATGCCGTTGCAGAGCACCGCGTATTTGTCGTAGGTCTGCGAAAACCAATCACCCCACGCTTACTGTTTGTACTGGTGCGTGGTGGTACGGAAAACTCCACAGTACAGTGCCTTGGATTGACCAGTTGGACAAACAGTGTACGGAGAAGTCAAAAGTTCGAAGTAGGCATTCTCCGCTTTGATAAGCGTTCATCCAACGAAAAGGTTGAGTGGACCAGTTATCGTCTCAAGCCATGTAAAGCATTATACCAACCAACATATTAACGCTGGTGTAATTCTGTTGATGATTCGTGGATTTTGAAGGCTGCGGCTAAATTATGCCTAGTTGACCGATTTTCGGAAGCTTTTCAACCACTCAGTCGGTGAGTGGGGGTCTAATCTGTGTATTACAAAAATGGTATTATTGTGCGATTTTCTCGTGCCAAAAATAGGAAAACGCGTCGACACGGTTTGCTGGATATAAGCTGACCTAAGTTACTCTTTCCNCCGTGCACAGGGAGTGTACGGATCTTCCAGTGTCACTAATCTGCTTTCATCGGCCAAGTGGACAAATAGACATCAGTTTTGCGGTGTAGTTTAGCCGTCATGGTAACATCCGATTGACTAAAAAATACACGTAGGCGGTTCACCGCGCATGAGAGTGGACTGCTATTCCTTTGCATATTTGATTTTGTACCCTTCGTTCTTGCTTTGTGTATTTGCTTGATACAGCTCACACAAACTCCGTTTCGATAATTATGAAAAATTCGGCTTTTCGGTTACTGACTGTTACAACCTGTAGGAGAAACTGGCCGGAAAGCTGAATAGAAGGGCAAAGTGATAAAATGGGTCTGTCATGATAAGCACCATAGGACATCAACCAGTGAAAACTGATCAGGCGGCCCCGCAAGGGAGTGCACTATAACCTGGGTTTATAGCGCACTCTAGTGCGCTTCAGGGCGCACAATTTGAAATTACAAGTTGTTCAGCACAACATTTCCACCAAAATCCTTCGATAAACTAGTCAACTAGGATGCGGTATATGGTTCAGTAACTCTGGGAGCAAGTAGGACATATTCCTGCGTAATCTAACGTTGAAATGCTTACATGTATTTCTAATGTAATTCGGCTGTATAATCGCATATCACGTCCCCTTGCAAAGCAGTAAAGTCGTTAAACGATAAAGAAAACAAAAGGCTTTAACTCTGCAACGAGAATTACTGCGAATAAGCACAGTGGGAAATGACGTTTTAGTGGGTATTCCAATGAGAGAAAGGTTAGTTTTACTCAACGGACTTCCTTAGGGATGGCAAATTTCATAGCTGACTGACTCTTCCTTTGTCATAGAGACCGTACAATGCTTATTCCGAAAAAGACTGTGAAAGACGTTCAAGTTTTTCTAACATGAACTCAGTGAACACCACGTTGCGCATATGAGGAGGGTGGGTGGAGTTAGGAGTGGCATCAAGGCAATGACCAGCATATTGTATTCTTTTCGCAATATCTGGCCAGACTCCAACGACTAGTTCCAGGACATTTCACAATGAAAGATTAGTGAGGTTGGGAATTCCTTCACTGCCCTGGATTTGTATATGTATCCTGATTGCTGATATTTGTTGTTCTTCCTGCACTGGACAGTAAAGTACAGCCTTGCAAAAGTTACTAACAGCAGTTTATCAACCATTATCTTATTATCATCTTTTCTATGTTCTAATCCCTTCCTCTACAGGTCGACTTCAGCAGCGCACATGTTGGGTTCCATTATGTCAAGGGTACGGAAATGTACATATTTGAATTTCTGATCTATTTTCTGCGTCCCATTGGACTTGATTAACGCTGAAAGTCATCCGTTTTCCGACAGTTTTACGGATTATTTAGTAGTCTTCCTCAGTCTTTGGTCGCAGATTGGAAACTACCCTCTGAAATGATTACTTTTTCTCAGTCCTGTGACATTTTTCAGCAGATTGACTGTTGAACTACCAGTATCCCAAGAACTGGCTGGAAAATTTGACAAATTGTGCACTACTATTTCCCAACTTCTTGGGAAATCAGAAACTTACAATATTGTCCCGAATGATTGGCCACGTTCTTCTTGATCCTAACCAATCAAATTGACGAACGCACGAAGGGGTGATCTAGTGGCTTGATGGTGACTCTATAGGTCACATAACATACTCTAGAGCGTGAAGCCAACGTCAGCTGGCCAACGCCAAAATACCGTGAATAAAAAGGTTACACTCTTTGTTGCCTACATATGAGTGAGCGCTATTTTTAGCATGCTTATTTGTTTCTTAGCCACAGTGTGCCTCGGCTTTCTTGTCAAATAGTGAGCGAAAGAAAGATGAAAAGACCGCTGTCAGGAGGATAGACCTGTATATGATTGATAACAAAGTTAACGTCCTGACAACAGTTACCATGAATGCCTTCGGTACTATATTAGATCATCGAATCCAGATGTGTATCGTTTGCATATCATGCGCATTATAATCCATTCTGGCGACAGCAGATTTGACTTTACCTCAAGAACTTACCCTACCTCATAATTTGTCCAAAGCTTACCCTTTGATCTTGTGAATTTAAACCAGTGACGATCATTCAGTGGGTCAACGGGGAAAACCATTGGGGTAATTGTAATCCCTGCAGTTGATGATACAGGTGAAATTTCGCGATACTTTAGTGCGGATGCGTAGTATTAAAGGTCTGACCGTTGATATTATGTGAACTGCTGTGTTGCTATGTGCGGCGCTCAACGTCATTAATTTCAAGAGGCCTCAAAATGTCACCTCACAGGAGAAGTCTATTACTTTGCTCCAACACGAAACAGAGCTTCATCGTGCGAAGGAAATTTAACGTAATTATTCAAAATGCATGACAAAGTCGTAGCGGAATTTCATGTCCGCGTAAACAATTTACACTTATTACCCACTCAATCTGCGAAGTATTGCAACTTGTGAGATTTTTTTTACTGATTCTGAGGTTTGTTTTCCTCAAACGGCTTCTGTATCATTTCATTAGAGTTTAGTCTGTTGCGATAAAATCTGATGAATTCATTGTTCCAAATTGTTGATGTGATGAATAGGAGGTACAAAATATCGACTGTCACGAATTTACTTATAGGCAGTCGTTGGATTGCTGTAATCTATCTTGTATAATTCATACCGTCACTCTTTGTCCACAACGTCACTTAAAATTACCACCAATTTGACCTACTTTGATTTATGGCATCTGTGCTCTGTAGCGGCCTCAAGCTTATACGTAAATTTTCCGAACAGATGAGATCACTTGGAGGATTAGTCAGTTGAAAAGCACACCACCCAATCGCCTGCTCTGAATATAAAAAGATACATTTCTGCACATCATCTGCCGTCCTTCGGGAGCAAGTCTTTTTTAATCTGGCTGAAAATAAAACCATCTCAAGCATTTGTTATTTTTCAACTGCTTTGTCTTAACCTCTGGAGATCAATCAGAAAATATGAATTATCACGTCATGCGGTGCTCTGCGTCAGCACTATAATAAGGCATTATATTATCGATATAAGAATAAAAAGCTCTATCTCAGATTTTCAAGTAGTGAACAAATCAGCTATAAGATTTCGCCATTTGATGTACAACCGGAGCTGTTTTTATCACTAAAGAGCGGTTGATCGAGTGAAGCTAGTGAAACTGATCTTACCGATGACATTCAACGTACGGGTGCCACCGACATAAGGAACGTAGTGTTTAGCTTGGTGAGAACGTAGTTGACCAGTACTACTTAGCCACGTCACGAGTGGCGTAGTATTGTAGGAAGTGATAAGACACTCAGTGAAAGAGAAATGGCCAATAAAATCAACAGACCAGATGGTGTTGGTCTGCTTGCGTAGGTCTGAAACTCAAAGGATGATAAAATCCAGAGGCCAAATACCTGGTGCAGCCAACAAAGTAATAATTATTATTAAATTCTTAAATGGATTTAAAATAAATATTTTCTGGTAAACTATTCATGCTGTCGTTATTTGCACAAATAAGATGACGGGCGTTTGGAAAGTTTGACTGTTGATGTGGTCAAAAGCTTTGCCACGTCGACTGCAATATGATAATTCTGACCAGGGACGATATCCAAATGAAAAACACCAGTTTCAAAAGCTAGAATTACTGCCAGGTGGTAGACAGCAGCCAAATAGTTAACTGTGTTTCTCATGTTTATAGTGTTTTCTAAAGTTGTGACTGGTAAATGCAGCGAAAACAGAAGAACCCAATCCATGAGGGATCGAACAACTTTGAGAATCGCTGAAATGGCAAAAAGACGTAGTTGGTAAAGTCACTGAACACCTCGCAAGGTAGCATGTAATAAGTTCTTTACATAATAATAGTGTTGCGAGCAAAAGAACAAAAAACAAAAAAGCCAAAGAAAGGGGATACAGTGAAACTTATTCAGATGTTAAAAAATATAACAAAACATCTTGTTTTAATTTAATTTTTACAAAATTACTATGGAAATGGCTGAATTGGTACGAGAAACGTTGATTACCCAGAACAAACTGGGATACAGTTTGCTGGTCAATTAATACTGATAATGGTTTTATCATACTCAGCCCCACTATTTCTTGAGAAAATGCTCAACTCCTGTACATTAGCATATCTGTATGAATATAGATCCATCTATTATAGTTGAAAAGGGATAACAAACTGTCTTCTCGAAGCCTCACGTCAGATTAATCTGCTAATGAGTGTAGTTGGCAGATGATACGACACTTACTTATACAGTTATTTGTTGCAATTTGTGAAATAAATATGGATACCAAATTCGTGTATATACTTTAAATATTCGTGAAAGGCACAATGGCTGTAGCTGGTACACCAGAGTGTGGCATTTCTACGTTTGCATTCATGTTGATATGGGCATTTTCCCACCGAATGACGTGAACAGTTTTTGAACAACGTTTACCAAAGTTTAGTAATGGCGGGCGATGATTGTAACTCCTTCTGTTTGGAACTGAACGCGGTAAAATAGATGCCTAAATTGATTTGACTAACTTTTTGAACGATAAGTAAAAGTATGTCTCCTGTACTTAAACCATTTATATGTATCTACTGTCGCCACTGCTTTTGAAGAAATCGTAGAATAATTTCCTAGCTGGCAGTTGATCAGGTGGTGACTGACTTGCAAACGTCTCGCCATTATTCTAATGTACGCAATATGATGCGCTCAAATTAAAACAATTCAAGCTACCAGTTGTCCAGCACACAGCTAAATTTCTAGCTCGGTAGCCTTTCGCCCTTGGCAAACCCTTAGACTTTTTGCAATCTACTATATCGAAGTAAAAGATGAAAGGCCAGTTGGGTTGGCTCATATTTTTGTGGTCTTCCGCTATTCCACACTCGCTCTTTTGAACTGTTCTAATCAACAGGCTTTATGCTCGATAACAGGAAAAGGAGAAGACGTTTTCAGCTTGACTGTGCATATGAAGGGACTGGCCCACGGAGAAGCTTGGGCATTATTCGGTTATATAATATCCGAACTGCTCACATAATGCCGAAGGCAACAGCATTTTTTCTGTTGAGTTCCATGATTAGCTGACGTAGCGAACACAACAAAATCATATTCCACCAAAGAAACTCGCAGGAGAAAACTATCAGAATAATACATACCGTATCGATGAGGAATCCTTACTGGAATGCTATAGCATTTTTCAAAGAAGCTTGTAACTAGACCGAATTTGTAAGACATTGAAGGCCTCGTGAAAATGACTCCAGACTTTATCGTTTACGATTCGTCATATCTTCTTATCGTCCGCAAACATTAGAGATGGAAGTGCACTGCATAACACAAAGCCACAGATGAAGTCATTCTTCCGCACAGTGTACATAAAACAATAGCACGATGTCAGTCGTGTTTGTGATACAATAAGCGAGATAATACGAAGTCGAACGGGACACGCGTAATCTTAATCACATGTTTTTCTATTGATTTTACAGAAAAACAGCGAATGCACAATGCTGAACAGGTCAATATGCTCCCAAACCCTTTGGATCTCCATGGCGCTTATAGCTTTGTGAGGAGCTATATGTAGATTACTTAAACCTATTTGGGAGAGGCTAATGCGGTGAGGCAAAAATTTACAAGCCAAAAGTTGTGAATGCTTGAGATTTATCAAAAAATGTGGTACTATGTGGATATAATACGTTATGAAAAGAGGTAAAAACATCGAATAATGTAGATTTCCGTTTAAATTGTTTCACAAAGTTAAGCGAACTTAAAGAGAGCCCCGAATAAAATTTTTAAAAATCAATTTTTATTAGCAACACACGCTTGAGCACAAGCGGTAATGCAAATAGTCAAAGTTGCACGCGTCAATGATGGTCGACCAAATTTGCTTAACATGTTAAGGGTTAAAACTTTGAGGGATCACAAATACATATCGAGTATGAAGTAGACGCAGTGGACAGCAGGCTTCCAGTAAACACGCCACCGGTGGCACCACCGCGGTAATGCAATAGTCAAAGTTGCACGCGTCAATGATGGTCGACCAAATTTGCTTAACATGTTAAGGGTTAAAACTTTGAGGGATCACAAATAAATATCGAGTATGAAGTAGACGCAGTGGACAGCAGGCTTCCAGTAAACACGCCACCGGTGGCACCACCGGTGGCCATCGGTTGCAAAAGGTGGAAAAAAGGGGTGGCTTGTTACCCTTGCCACCGCTGGCGCCACCGGTGGCTAAGGGCGGCCAAAGGTGGCACCTCGAAAAAATTTCCGCCGACCTTTTCATAGCCTTTTTCGAAAACCCTTGCAGCCGGACGAGGCCAAAGATGGCAACCACAAATCTGTCTAGGCATATTTGTTGGCTAAATTACTGCCTCTGTGAGTAATCGCTGACTACCTAACCTCATGGCATGTGTATTATTGCCAAACGCCGGAGATAATTACCAAACGCGTCGTCCTTACGACAACATGCTGCATGGTCAAAAGATAACAAGGTTATTGGAAAAATATAAAACTATTGATGATATCATTACAGCGTCATTGATTATTTCGGATGCGCCGCAAGGCGGCCCTCTCGCGTCGCAGCTTCCGGTTTCCAGGGATTCGATCAAAGGCTCC